TGAAGTTTAAGAAAATAGCAAGGGGAATATTTCCAAGATAATGTTGGATAGATTACAGTAAAGGTACGCGGTTGGGTTTGAGGTGGCCGGCCAACCAACACCTTGTGAGGGAATTTTACGCGACTACCGCTGTAAGAGTTGATAATGAAACTTTCTGTTTAAAGCCCTTATAGGGGGTGCCCATTAGCGCAATCGGGTCGGGTTGGGTCGGGTCGTCGGGTCTGGTCGTTTTCTAGTGGTTTCAGGGCACACTACAGCCCGCTGCGGTTGTACCCGACGATGTAGAGATTAACCTCAATGGCTTTCACGGCTCTTTTCCGGAGTTCCCTGTTGCAGTGCTGCGGCAGCCTGGAATCCCATAAACATGGGTTACACCGATAACTTTCTATTATCAAAGATCGTTCATAACAAGATAGTTCACTAGGCAAAAAAAGTGTCCACAAAATCAGATGGCGCTGCAGTCTATGTTTTGAACTTAACTCTCTTTCGTTACCCCAGAAGAAGAACAGGAACAGCACAGTTTGTTAGCTTCGCTTTTATTGTTTCCACACAAGTAGGGTAACTCTGTTCGTAAAATCTGTTTTTTTAAAGAGGGTGCCACCGGATTTTGAGTGTCAACATGGGCACGTGACTCAACCTTATTGTGATTGGCTGCAAACCACCCGATCGCGCGACTCGCAGGCCTGAAAACAAACTCGTTTGTTTTTGCAAGTCACCGACCGAGTCGATCGGTTTGGGCAACGATGGCCGCTTTGCACCCTCAATTTGTCTAGCCCTGACTATCAAATCGACCCGACCCGACCCAATCGCGCTAGTGGGCATCCCCTATTACATCTGGCGGTTCGGCTGGAAACACACGAGTCAGTGGATGTAAGGTGCGGTGTGCATTCATGGCTGAGTGCCTGCAACGAAGAGAGTTGGGTATTGCTGGGTCTCTGCCACTATCGACTACCTATCAACCAGAGTACCTCACTTTCGATGAATGTCCCATTTATGAAGCCGGGGTCACGTAATGAAACAAATATTATTTTGATTGGAGTTTCCTTTTATTTTGATAGGATGGGGTGAGGTGGGGTGGGAATGGGGGTGGTTGATTACGCTGCATGTTGTGTGACCTGTTGTCACTTGGAACCAACTGAATAAAGAGAATTATGAAAACAGCAGGCCTATGCGGTATATAATTTCTCTCTCTCTCTCTCTCTCTCTCTCTCTCTCTCTCTCTCTCTCTCTCTCTCACGGTTATGCGCTGTGCTGTCACACGCAGGAGACCCGATTTCGGTTCCCGGGTGGGGAGAAATATTACAATATTCCAGCAGCGAGGTTGAGATACTCGATAACAATAATGTCTCCCTACTCAGGAATCGAACTCATGTTTCCTGCATGAGACCGCAAAACGCCTATTTATAACCGCTACAACACAGACGTCGGTGATTGGATACGAACCCCTGGTACATAATGTATGAGATAAATGAGGTTATTGACATGTGCAGTGCAGTCTACCGTAACGGGAGTTGAAGAAAGACAAAAGTCGGCCTTGTCCTTGACCTAAATCTGGTGGCGACTGAATGCACATTTCGACTGCAAATTTTACCCTTTCACCGCTAAGATTGGTGCATTTACACGTATTGTATGTTTGTATAGAAAAGGGTAACACGAAGATACAAAACGTTAAAACAAAGCAGTCACAGAGAGATTATCATTATTGATTCTTCTTACTTAAAAATGAAATTAACCGCGCTAGATGTCGTTATGTCTTCCTCAAACTTCCTATGTAGGAAAGTCAAACCAGCTTTGAGGTATGAGGTTATATTTAGTACTAGAGTTCATGGCAGAGATGTCCCCCATGCAATAGAACGGGGACTGCGTGTGCCCACCCTGGGACGCTGAACGTCAAGGGCACGACATGCGCAGTTCAACAGACGTGTGACGTCACTGCTGCGAGCTCTAGTATTATAATATATAACCTCTTTGGGCCCCACTGAGAGTTGACTCCTGATGTGCTTACTAAGCCTAGGAGCTTCCAAACGGAGGGCTTTAGTTTATTTGTATCCATATTGTGTGCTCTTGTTTGATCTACCACATATTGTGACATCCCGCCCGCTCCCTTTAAAAAACAGTGAGTAAAACTACTGTGGAGATCAGTAAAATTAATAATGGAAGTAAGAAGGGGGGAGGGGTGTGTATGTGTATTTGTGTGTGTGTGTGGTGGGTGAGTGTGTATATGTGAGGCAGCGAGGTGGAACCAGGCTCTCGTCAAAATAATCAAAGTGAAGAAACTCGCATTTTTCCCGCAGGTTTGTGAATTTTTATCAGTTTTATGTTTTTTGGCCCAACACCTTTCATGCCCATTAAAGACTCATTTCTGAGTGGACTTTTCTGAAAAACGTTGATTAAAGGCACAAAAAACATAAATTGTTAGTTACCTTGGACTCTTAAGCTAAGGAAATAACTAATCTTTGGAGGCCATTTTCTCAGAAATGTTATCTCTGAAAACAGGTGACCCCCTCCTCCTTCTTTCGCAAATATCACGATTTTTATTCAAGATAAATGGATATTTTTTCATCCAAATAAAGACAAGTGAACAAGCTTTAAGATAATACCAATAACTCTACATGCCCCAAAATTGACGAGAGCTTGATTCCACCACGCTGCCTCACATATGTGTGTGTGTATGTGTGTGTGGTGTGCGTGGTGGTGTGTGTGTGTGTGTGTGTTTAGGAGGGAGTGGGATGAATCTATAATTCATTCCACTTCTAGAAAGAATTCCTGCAGCTACTACGTATTTACACTAAATATAGAAAGCTATTTCATGTTCAACTCTTAGGAATTTGAGGAAGTACACAGCAAGTCCTTATTATTCAATTATATATTTGTGACATTAAAAAGATATGGTCGGTTGAGTTGGGGGGGGGTAGTAGTATAGCTTGTTTTACTTCTTTTCCAATACACAGTAAAGTTTAGCCACCCACCCACCCCAACTCTGGACAGAGCTTAGTTTAACTTTGCTGGTAGAATGTCAGACAGATTTTCTCTCAATACAGTTTATCGAAGCATCCCTGTAGCTGCCTACGTTGCAGTATGAAAATCTGTTGTCTAGAAAAAAAAACGCATGAACTCAGCGGAGTTCAAATGAAAAGAGTGACTTTATTAGCCTAGCAGTTAGGCTACCTAAACCCATAATCCTGAGAGTGCCAGTCTGAAGTTCGAGCTTCAGCTCAGCCCGACGCTGTGTCCCTAGGAAAGGCACTTGACACGAATTTTACTATTTGGCTCAGTCCTTTTGGAGACGGACGTTAAATTCGGAGGTCCCACCTCCTACACAACTTTACTGTGGTGCAAGGATTGGGGAGGGGGGGGGGGGGTTTAAGCTGTATTATAGTCTGAAGTATAGGGAGTGTAATTTATTAAGGCCAATAGTTCAGAAAACCCAGCTGACGGGCTGAAATACGCAAACGTTGTGCTTTATACTTTTTATTACATGAGTGTTCAACATCCATCCGTATTGGTGAGCTGTGACGTAACCCAACTGTGCCCTCCATGATGGAAGTAATAATGTAGTATATTCTCCTTATGCAATACCTCTCTCAGCTGTAGACTTAATCTGCGTCACCGAAACGATGATGTGGAAGTTGATATAGCTAGACAGCGACAAATAAGCCAGTATAAACGAAGTCCGAGGGCGTAGAGGAGAAAAACACACCCTTTATGGAATGAACAACGTGCTTTATGAAGTGAGCAATCTATACCAACATGTACTTTGCTTTGAGTTCAGATTGATGTACTGCCCCGTTAGTGTCAACCTTAATGTGCTCTCTGTTTGCACGAATCCTAGTTATAATGGCTACAGTGACAATATTACTTCCCACGCGCAGGAAAAATCGATCAAAATTTAAAATTACAAAAAGGGTCAGTAGATTCGCTTGGATATAAACTTTTTTTTTAAATTATAGGGTGTTATAAAACTGTAGGGAATATTGTAGGCTTTAGTGAAGCCTTATGCGTGATCTGCTGGTCGCTGACCCAAAACTCTTCCTGTCCGCATAGAATGAAGCAAAATCTGGGGTCAATAGTATTGTAATGATATGTGAGGCATCGTGGTGAAATGAGGCGCTCGTCAAAATAGTGAAATCGAAAATATCAGCATTTTTTCTATTAGGGATGTCAATTTTTATCGAATTTTTGTTTGTTTGGCTCAACGTCTTTCATGTACATACAAAAACACATTCCCATGTGTATTTTATTAAAGGCATAAAATTTGTAATTTTTCAGTTTTCAATGACTCTCGAGCTATTGAAGTTACTGAACTTTGGCGACCTTTTTCTGTCTAATTTTACCACTGAAAGCGCGCGGCCCCACCACTTTCAATAGCAAATATCTCGACCTCTATTGAAAATGGAAGGGTATTTTTCTTGTATTGCAAGCAAGACTACGGAATAAGCTTTTAGATGATACCAATAATTCCACATGCCAAAAAATTGACGAGCGCCTGATTCTACCTTGTCGAGACATTTAGTTTGATCTTTACCCTTCGACCTTATTATAATGGAAACTAAGCTAAAATCTGATTCCTGGCTCGAGTCCAAGAAATAGTCATCACACTTGGGTCGTTTTGTTGGGAATTTTTTGTGTGGTTTTTAAAATATGTTGTTTTTTTTTGGGAGGGGGGTATTCTAGTTTAGTAAGAGTTTTACTGTGGGTGGTTGGCGGGTGCTCTGGTGTGGTTTTCTCGTTCTTTCCTATGAAACATCCATCGTCCTGATCTCTCCTTCTTATTTTGTGTTTGTTACTCTCTTGTGTAACACCTCTAATCTTCGGCACATATAGTATGTGTTGCAAGTGCCGTAAAACTCATACTGAAACTAAAACTAAAGAGTTTTGCGGCGCTCGCAAATGCATACGATGAAATGAGCGGGCGTGTGTGAGAAGGACAAAGAATTGACACGGGCGACGAATTGACTTAGTCTAAAGTCTAAAGTCATTGTATTACTTTTCTTTTCAGTTCAAAGAGATCCCTGTGACTGCTTCTGTCTACGCCACTGGATCAGGTCTTGCTCTGGCAGAGGTAAAGTATAGTTTTTACATTGCGTGGTTCTTATAGGAATAAAGTTTTAAAAAATATTTAAAAAATAATAATACATTTTTTTATTTTTTTTAAAATATATAATATACATGTATATATACATTATATATATATATAAGTACATATACATTATATATATATGGTATGTATATATATATATACACCAGTGGAAATTGTATGAGACGGTCACCCATTGTCCAGGAGAAAGGGGGGGGGGTGGTCTTAGAAAGGTGGCCGTCTTATACAGTTTCATTAACATGTTTTTAAAGAATCAAGGGGGAAGAGGGAAATGGAAAGTGGTCGTTTGTACAGGTGAGTGTTTTGTACAGGTGGGCGTTGGAGCAGGTTCCAATGTATTATGAAAAACCATCTCTTTCTCTCTGTGTCTCTTGTGTCTCTCTCTCTCTCTCTCTCTCTCTCTCTCTCTCTCTCTCTCTCTCTCTCTCTCTCTCTCTCTCTCTCTCTCTCTCTGTCTGTCTGTCTGTCTGTCTCTCGCACTGCATATACATATATATATATATATATATATATATATATATATATATATATATATATATATATATATACAGTCAAACCTGTGTAAGACGGCCACTCGTTGTCAAGGAGAAAAGTGGCCGTATAAGACAGGTGGCCGTCTTAGGCAGGACTGATCAAGATAAAGAAAATAAACCATTCCCATCTGAGGCCCCAATCAAAAATAGCCCCATTGCTGTTGTCTTTGTGGTGTTGTTGCTGTTGGTTTGTATTTCGTTTGTAATTTTTATTTTGTCGCTGATTTTGCACAATGGTGACAATAAAACGAAATGTATCAGACAAGGAAGACCGAGTGCCATGTTAAAACAAACACATGGGTCGCCACCACTCGGAGAACGAGGGACGCTTCTGTAACAAGTTCATGTTGACGTCCTTTGTTACTTTGTTACAGACTGGGTAAACAGTAACCACTCATCTCACTTACGATTTGTGTATGAGTTCTGGGCGGGGCTTATGGGTTATGAGGGATCACACGCTAACTCACCTGCAGCTGAAAATTGGTAGCTATTGGTCAACAGTGGGAGGGGCCTACGCAACATGATCGGTTGGAGGGACTACCTAACAACAACGACAGGTGATTGAATTATGGTGTAATTATGACGGCTCGCCCACAACGCCAGGGGCCAATGCACAATTTATGACAAAACGTAATGGATTCACTAACGTGACCGTCTTAGACAGGTATTATTGCTTAGTATTATAGGGGTTGTGTGTTAAATTTTTGTGGCCGCGGCCGCGTTGGACAGGTGCCCGTTTTACACAGTTAAACTATATAGAAAAAACGCAAGGGGGGAAATGGAAAGTGACCGTTTGTACAGGTGGCCGTCTTATAGAGGTGGCCGTCAGGGCAGGTTCGACTGTATATATATATATATATATATATATATATATATATATATATATATATATATATATATGTGTGTGTGTGTGTGTGTGTGTGTGTGAGAGAGAGAGAGAGAGAGAGAGAGAGAGAGAGGGAGAGAGAGAGAGTGCATTTATATCTCTTCCTTTTTCTCCCACTCCACCTCTCTATCTATCTATCTAGCTAGCTAGCTATCTATCTATCTATCTATCTATCTATCTATATATCTATTTATCTATCTAGCTATCTATCTATCTATCTATTTATCTATCTATCTATCTAACAGACAGAGAAAGAGAGAGAGAGAGAGAGAGGGGGGGGGAGTCAGAGAGAGATGAATCATCATACGTGATGTAAGGTTAGGGTCACTCACAGGTGAAGCGTACAGGTGAACCAAACACATTTAGTGCATGAATACATCAGTCTCCCAGACACAAGCTTCACGTTACACAATGAAGGGCGGTGACAATTCAAACTCACACTCTGCATTAAGCACGGCCATCATAGATAACCTGCAGAGCATGCACATCTTCTGCAAGCTTTTCAAACAGCTTTTGAACCTAAAACTGTGATTAAAAGAAAACAAACAAACATAGTTTCTTAATCTGTGTTATGTGTTACCAATTGCATGTTTTCAAGATATAATATTACGTCGAAATTCGAATACTAAATGTGTTTTTTTAAGCTAGAAAAATACGTAAAGTAGAAACTATAGTTAAAAGAAAGAAAAACGTTTTTATTCTCTCCCTAAAAAAAAAAAAAGACTCCAGGAGAAACGAATATGGAAATTTTGATAAGCAACATAGAAGTGGGCCGGGAGTCTTATAAAAACTACTAGTTAAGGATTTGTGCGCGTTATGGCATTAAAACTATTTATGTATCCATTTAAAAGTAACGGTTGCACCATACTGCTGCTGCAAGATTTGCAGTACTTGTCAATATATTATTATGATTTTTTTAGCAGTTTGCAGTTGGGGGGGGGGGGTATTTTCTTTTGGGATAATGTAGCTGAATGTCGGAGTTGCTGTCTTTATTCTTTGCTTACCAGCCCACACACACACATACTCCACAAAAATAAATAAAAATAGAACCCCTACCCCCCCCCCCCCCCCCCGCAAAAAACCAATTTCCTCTTAACTCTTTAAACCCGAAGCAGACACATAATGCTAGGTTTCATTAACGGGATACCAAAGGCAATGCATACTATAAACGGTCGCTTTTAAACACAAAGAGGCTATCCTGAAAAATGCTGTTTTGAGAAAATAGAAGGTAAAGTTTTGCCTCTTGTTCAGTTTCTTTAAAAGACAATGAGACTTTTCTCTATAACCAAACAAGTATACACAGCAGTTAAACCAAATTTCTCCAATAGATAGGGCAATGCCCACTTTTGGTGTAGGTCAAGATTTCTGGAAACCGCCTAAGACCGCTTGTCCTTAAAAGTGACGAAGTAATAAAAGTGAAAATTCGTGTTTCTGAATTGTGTAGTGTGATAGTTTGAAATATGTCTCAGCTTTGCCTTTTGGTCAGCTCCTAATCGGACGTATTATGTGTCTACCGGTGTCTGTTGTGTAATACGGGGTGCCCATTGTGGATGGGATTGGGTTGAGGTCGGGTCGAGCCGGGGACAATCGTCGCACCCGTCGTCTGAAAGCAAACGCGTTTGTTTTTGAGGCGACTAGTCGACGCGATTGGCTTATGCCACGATAGCTGCTATGCACCCTCAGTCTGGCAAGCAAACCGCCCTGGCCAGACTCGATCCCCCAATGGGCACCCCGAATAACGGTTAGTCCTTGCGCTGTCGTACACAGGAGGCCTGAGTTCTATTACCGAATTGGGTCTTTTTTTTTTAATCGAACGTCTTGGCCTGTCCACTAGGATGTTGCATACCTCTCCGCCCTGGTAGGGTCTGACATGCAAGGGCAAGAGCCGCCTCCTAAACAATGACCAAAATTGTGTCGATGGAGACTTAAAAACGCCAGAGTTCAACTTTTTTTCTTTATGATTCCGTTATGTCCTTAAAGAGTTAAAATTTACAGATCTCCTAAAGTCCCCGGCAGCTCAGCAGGAAGGTTTTGTCTGAACCGTTTTCGGCGAAAACTTCTCTCCCACGTCGTTCAAGGATCGCATTGACCTTTTTTTTCTTTCTTTTTTTTCGGCCCAGTCTTGGTCACGTTGCTCTGAAATTTGTGCTGAATTGTATTGGTGGTATCGATGATGATGGTATCGGATAACCCAGCATGGTGTGACCAAAACAGGAATCAATTTTGTTCAAATGGACTTTAAGTCTCAATGCAAACAATTCATTTGACTGAGAAAACAAGTCCCTTTCTACAACTGCTTCCGGTGGCTGTTTAAATTCATAAATAAATGCGATATCAGAAAGAAACATGCAAATTGTTTTTTTGAAAAAAGCAACGAAAACAAACATTCTCAATACTTGGCGAACGATGGACGTTTCATACGCACCAAACACTACATTATTACTCTATACCTTTCTATTAAGCTAAAAGAAAATCGATATCTACGAAAAAGAACGGGTACAAATCTCCGCTTCCCTTGGCCATAAACCATTGTTATCTCCGCGCTCCGATACGTAGCTGGTCCTGCTATACATCGTGACCGCAATATTGCTTTACACCTGTGATGACCTGCCTAATGGGAAATCGGAAGCTTAGTCATCTATGTTCAAGCGATTTGGTTTCCCCATTACACCGATTTCATTGCCGGATCTGGGAGGGGGGGGGTATTTTTTGGTGTAACCATTATCCACGCGGTCTGGAAATTATTGCGGTAGTAATAAAACATTTTGTTGAACACATGTTTGACTATGAAATCAAATCATTTTCTTTTTTTTTAATAAGCTAGTTTGAAGCAGTTAGGGGTACATCGAGAAACAAGTGCAAAAAAATGCAATATAAGACAATCGCCTGTACGAAACGACCACTTCCCATTTCTTCCCCTGCATTTTCTCGTTGCATGATAATGACACTGTATAAGACATCCATTGTCTAAAACAACAACTTTTCTCCTCGAAAATACGAGTGTTTTTTAGCTGGCGTCACTTGTAGGTCCTACTTCTTTTCTTTCCCTCTCTTCTTTCTGTCCATCTGTCTCGTTTTATCCTTGCACTATTTGGCTGTTATTGTGTCGATGTGCAACGTTATACTCAAGCTCTTCCCGAAAGTCGGTGGCTGTCTTAGACAATTACTACTGTCATTCAAATTTTAATGTTCTGTACTTTCCCAAAGACCAAAGCTCTATAAATCTCATTTAGTATAATCTTCGGTCTCCCAAAATGAAAAGACAGAGAGCAGAATTGTCATTTCATCAAAAATTAAGGTCCATGCCAATGCCAAACAACAAATCCTTTTTCCAAGGAATGCTTTAAAAAATATAGGTGTTTTTACGCCTCCATCAACACTGTTTAGATCATTTAGTGTTCGGGCTTCAGACTCTGCTCTGCCTGTCATGGCCAGCCAACCGGGTATAAGAGGGATTCAACATTCCAGCAGAGATATCAAGAAACTCGATAAAAAGTACATTTCTACCCGCTCGGGAATCAAACTTGGGCCTCCTGAGTGCGACAGTGAAACACCTAAACGTTACACCACAGACATCTGTCCAACGAGCCCGACTGGAAATATTTTGTGTAATATATATCTAGAATGCAGAATACTCTTCGACAATCTTTACGACAGTAGTTTCACCTGCTAAATGAAATATAGATAGATAGATAGATAGATAGATAGATAGATAGATAGATAGATAGATAGATAGATAGATAGATAGATAGATAGATAGATTTGATTGTATTAAATCCATATGGTATTAATAAATAAAATATTATGTTTGCATTATATTATGTTATATAATATAAATAATTCTCCCCACCCACACCTACTCCCACCCACCACCCAACCCCCACATCAAATTTAATCATCTGCGCTATCGTCACAGATCGACTACAGCTTCCACGTCACCCAAGCCTTGGTCCTGCCTTCCTTTGACGTCAGCATCGTGTGTCTGGACGATGATGTGGATCATTTCACTCTGATGATTTGCACAAAGTGAGTTGTGACGCTTTCTTTTTTTTGTTGGCCTCCTACTCCTATTTCTTATCATCATCATCATCATCATCGTCGTCGTTGTCGTCGTCGTCGTCGTCGTCGTCATCATTATCATCATCATCATCATCATTATCCTCATCATCATCATCATCATCATCATCATCATCATCATCATCATCATCATCATCATCATCAACAACAACAACAACACCAACAACAACAACAACATCATCATCATTAACAACAACAACAACATCAGCAACAACAACAACAACCTCACAGAATCGTGAACTCAGAGTTCTCAGTGTGACATATTATTCGTGGTCACGCTTGGAAACCAGATTTTTTTGGCACATGGAAAAACATTAAATTCGTAGCGTTCGCAATATTTTCTCACTCCTCTTCAAAATGAATTGCCACAAAGGACCACACATTAAAAGAAACTTTCACAACCTTTGAATGTTATTCACAACGCCATTTGTATTCGTGAGACCAGCAGGCGTCTGAAAACAAATTGCTGATGACTCAAAAAGTTTATGAAGCGAATCCTGCAAGGTGTAATATTGTGCTTGGGTCGTGAACCCATAAACCGTTCCTTTGGTTACTTTTTCGGAAGTTGTTAAGTCTCCCAAGCTGTGAATTGAAACATATCCTGTTCCCCTAGTAATGTTTTCGAAAGCTATCAATGCCCAGCATGTCAGTGCTTAATATGAGCCAGTGGTTCCTTTTTCTGATGTTCGCCTTCGTTGCTTGAAATAGCCAAGTGAAAACGTTTTGGTGCATATCTGACGATGTATACATGTATGTATGTGTGTGTGTGTGTGTGTGTGTGTGTGTGTGTGTGTGTGTGTGTGTGTGTGTGTGTGTTTATGTGTTTGCGTTGATGTGTTTTCTTCTTTCTTTGTGTGTGTGTGTATGTGTGTGTATGTTTGTGTGTGTGTATGTATGTGTGTGTTTGTGTGTGTGTGTGTGTGTGTGTGTGTGTGTATGTGTGTGTGTTGTAGAAAAGGGGAGAGAAAAGGAAAGAGAGAGAAAGAGAGAGTGAGAGAGAGAGAGAGAGAGAGAGAGAGAGAGAGAGAGAGAGAGAGAGAGAGAGAGAGAGAGAGAGGGGGGGGGGGTTAGTAAGCACACGTGTGTTTATTTTTAAGAATGTATTTTTATTATGTTTGTTTTGCAAGGACGAGAAAGGGGGGAGGAGTCGGATAGTTTTCAAATTTCAGCTAACTGTCAACAGCAAACGAAGGAGGGGGTGTAGAGAAAGGCGAGTAAAAATGAGAAAGAGGAAAGAGAGGGGCGACACACACCGAGACAGACAGACAGACAGAGAGAGAGAGAAAGAGAGAGAGAGAGAGCGAGAGAGAGAGAGAGAGAGAGAGAGAGAGAGAGAGAGAGAGAGAGAGAGAGAGAGAGAGAGAGAGAGAGGGGGTAACAATGTAGGGAGGAAGAGAGGAGGGCTAACAGACATGGAAAAGCGTTATGAAAAATTGTGTCGCATACAAAACAAGGTTGTTATAAAGTGACCCTTGACGGTGCTATTATTCTTACTCGCAGTGCAGCACACTAAATGTTAATTCTCACCCTTGTCCCCACATACCTCTGCCTTTTTCTCATTATAAGTTTTAAAAGTCAACACTCCCACTCCTCCCCCATCTGAACACCTAAACAAATCTCCACGGCAATTAATGTAAATGCTAAAGAACTCCCTTTTGTTACGTGCTTACACTTTGTGCGTTATAAGGTTTTTATCCTCCCCTATCACCCCCCACACACACACACACACACACACACACACACACACACACACACACACACACCCTTTTTCCTTTTTCTCCAGAATGTAACGTTAGAAAACTTCCCAACAAAACACTCTCTGCCCACTTTCTGAATATGATCGAGAACCATGGAAGACTGTTCCCTCGTCTCCTCTTTACTCAAACTTTAACCATAATCACCCCCTCTACCCACTCCACTCTTGTTATTTTCCTTGCTGGGGTTTTTTTTTCAACAACATGAACGACATAAAACAATCGCAGGTGTTTGGAAGGCGTCACTGGTAGTAGTAGGTCCTACGTCTTTACGTTCCTTCTGTTGCCTTACTTTATCTCAGCACTGTGGTCGCTTCTAAACACGAGGGTGCTATCCCGAAAACTGCTGTTTTGAGAAAATCGAAGGTAAAGTTTTTACCCCTTGTTCAATTTCTTTAAAAGACTGGGAGAGTTTTCTCTATAATCAAACCCATATTACACACCAATGAAACCATACTTCTGCTATAGGTAGGGCAATGCCCACTTTTGGTGTAGGTCATGATTTCTTAAAATCACCGAAATCTGGGTTAGCCCGCTTGTTCTTAAAAGCGACCAAATTATAACCATTATTGTGTAGATGTGCTTCTATTTACTCAAACAAACAAACAAGCAAACACATGACACAATCCTTGTCTCTCCTCCCTCCCCAGATGGTTGCATCGCACCGATCTCACCGGCATGGTGGTTCAGGAGATCAGTGTGCCGTCCGGGTTCAAAGCCCACGTGGACTCACTGAGAGACGTGGCCGGCCTGAAGCGGGTTGAAAAAGATGGGAACCTGGTCTCCATCTACTTTGATGAGGTCAGAGTCTTGGGCTCGGCGTTTGTTTTTGTTTTTTTGTTTTTTGTTGTGCTGTTGTCTTTTGCTTGGGTGGGGGTTTTTTTTTTTCTGCTTTTGGTTTTTTCTAGTTATCTTATTTTTGTCTTAATGTAGGTGTTTTACTCCCCCATCGACACGGTTCAGATCATTTAGGAAGCGGTTTTTCGGCCCCATCTATCGGGCCAACCGAGGTTGAGAGGGATACAACATCCCAGTATAAAGACAGATGAAGATTTGTCCCCAGTCGGGAATCGAACGTGGGTCTCCTGCGGGCGACAGCAAAGCGCCTGACCGCTTCAACATAGACATTCTGAAAAGATTTTCTATATTATTTGTTATTACAAGTACTAAAACAGAAGTACTGGAGTACACATACTAGAATACTTTACTTTGAACACTTGAAAAGTAAGGACAATATTTAGATACATCGCTACATCAGCATTACAAATTTCTATCTGCTCAGTGCCTAGTTTTGATAAGTTTGACGTAAAAATAATAAATTTTACTTGATAAAAAACTGCAGATACAAGAAAAATTGGGGGGATATGGA